TAATAATGAGATGTTAGTAGAGAAAGAAAAGATGAAAATATGGGATTGTGGGAGTCCTTTGTATGACTCCTATGAACTAGCTTCAGTCACCCAACTGATCGAACGGCAACTGATGTTTCTCCCGTCGTCCCTCGGCGGCTCGAAAAGGCGGCTCAAGTTGCATCATGAGAATCATATTCATGCACCACCTTCTACTTCTAAGGGTGTGGTTAGTACAGTTGTATCACTGAGTTGTACTCCGAAAACAAAAGGAGAAAAAGGGGTGTTTGGTAGGTTAAGTGGATGCATAGGAAGAGTTGCTCTTTGTGGAGGGTTTTAAGAGGAGAAAGAATTATGAAGATCAAGTTCAACAAGTTTAAAATTCCTGGATTTAAGTGTTTTATGTAATGTTTCTTGGATTTGACTCTAATGAAAAATTTATGTTTTTTTTTTTTTTTTTTTTTTTTTTTTTATGTTTTATCATACATCTAAAATAAAAATAAAAAATTATTTTATCATATGGTTCAAGAGTAATATATTATATATATGTTCTGTTTTTATTTTTTCAATTACTCCGTACTAATTAGTTTATAGAGAGTAGAAAATATTGGTCATGAACCATGTTTTTTTTGGTCATATACTTAAATTCATCTTTTTTTTAGTAGACATGTTTTTTTAATTTTACATTTATACTACTGCCTAATTTCAACCATACAAAGTATGAAAGTAGTAATCATAATAGTTCTTCAAAGGAAATTGTATGATTAACATTAATAGTTTACCCACTTTCCTTTTTTGAACATTTATTTTTTTATCTAACCATTTATAACTTGCTGTTTTTAGACAAGAGATCCATTATTATATGTCACTTTCATCTTTTACTTTTACTCTTTTTTAAGAGGTACATACTTAGTAACGGTGAAAAAATTCATTAAAATTAAAAAAATAAAAATAAAAAAAAATTGAGAGAAAATATTAAATTTGAAAAAAGCTTAGTCGACTTGATAATCCGATCCAAAATTTGACTTGAAAATAGCAGTTTAGGATTGAGATATTAGAAAAAATTTCATTTTTTACTTTGTGACATGTTTTATGTAAGAGGCCTAATTAAGAAAGTAATCAAGACCTCGAGAGGCCCAATTAAAAAAACAATCAAGAAGGTGGTTACTACATGTTCATTTGAGTGTGGGCCTTTAGTCTATGTTTCAAATTTTCAATTCACATGTTAAATGATGAAGTATACTCCTTGGCGAGTTAGCGAGTTGGACATCCTACCTTAAACTTGGACTCTCCTTCCATCTAAACTCCATTATCATCAATTGCGACTAGAGGTGTCAATTCAGATAATCGGATAGGGTATAATGAGGTCAGATCGGGTCTTATCGAATCAATTTTTAAAGTTGAGTCATACTAAATTTTTAAAGTTGGATCGTATCGGATCAGTTTCGAATCGGGTTAGGTCGGGTATGATTTTGACACCACTAATTACGACTACAATTGTTAATTTTATTATTGATTACTCCATCTACGGAGCATCTCATGGTACCTTCGTTTTCCTAAATTTATATTGTTTTTATCCATTTTCTAAACTCTACTGACTTCTAATTTATTCCGTTTAGGACAACATTTTATTTTAGGAAAAATTCACAATATTAATCCAAACTATAAACACTCTTCCCATATTAATCCCAACTATATATTATTATAGTATAATCTAAACTATAGGGGACATCTTTCCAAATTAATCCTGATGACCAGTTACCTATTAAACCGGTTAATTTATGATTTTTTTTTTCTTGTTATTTCTTCGTATCCTTCCTTTTTCTCAAGCCTAAGCTCCTCCCATGCCACCACCCTAACCACCACTGCCATCAAAAGCATCAAACTATCAAAGCAATACCTTTGGCCATTAACCACTGCCAACATTAGCCACCATAATTTAACCCCCACTACTAGCCACCAAAATCAACATCTTACGCGTTACGCCCCTCCTCATTACCATCACGCATTTCTCCACTAAAATCAACAATAACATCATAATTGTATCACAACAGTTAGAGAAATAAAGAGAGGAGGAGAGATAGATTGAGATGGTCAAATTCTAGATCCTTTGGTAGCTTGGTGTCCATTCTCATACCCACAAGAAGAAGCACCACCATAGACAACCACTAAACCACCACTACCACTATCCATTCTACAAAATGTGGTGGCTGTAGTTGAGGAAGATGACAATTTTGGTGGTCATTTATGTGGCAGAGGGAGAAATGAGTTGGTGTTCCGGGCGGTGGTGGAAAAGTTGCGGTGGTTGGAGTAGGCCGTTGAGTATGAAAGGAGAGAGAGAGGGAGTATTCTGATTTTAATAATTACAAGACACATGGCCCAAATGACTTAGTTAACCGGTTTAATCAGGTTGCGGATCAATACGAGAAGATGCCATGTATAGTTTAGATTATAATGAGATAACCCTTAGTTGGGATTAATATGGGAAGAAATAATTAGGGGTGAGCATGGGACGGGTATCCGTATCATTAACACTATCGGTTCGGGTACCCAATAACCAATAACACTAAAAATGATATTCATTACCCGAACCAATAAGTTCGGGTACCCGGATTTTTGGTTCGATTATCGGGTACCCAATATAATATCCATAATAAAAATTTAGACTTTATAATATAGTTATTATGATGTCATTCAACACTAATCAACAATAATACCACGTGATCATGACCAAATTACTAATAATTACTAATCATTTAAATTATGAAGTGATTACGAAGTAAAGTAAGAGTTTAGGTTTTGGATAAATAGATTTAAATAGGAAAAAAAAAATTGCTTATTGGAATGGATCAGGTAACCGTTAATTGTAAAATGATACCCAATAACCGTACCCGATAACAAATTATCGGATAGGGTACCCGAACCGTTATGGTTATCGAAACGGGTACCCTAATTTTCGGTTCGGTTACAGTTCGGATTTTCGAGTTTTCGGATTTTCGGATAATTTTGCTCAGCCCTAGGAAGAATGACCATAATTTGGATTATTCATATGAATTTTTCCTTTTTTTTATTTAATTATCTATTACCTCACTTGTGGACTCAATTGTACTTATTAAATATCTTTTATTACCTCTCCTTTTTAAAATGAAATTTTTAACGTAGGTGGTCTTCATTTTATTTGTTTTCTTTTTAGTTTTTGCTGCTAAAATAACTTAATGTAACTAAGAGAACGACGAGAGTAAAATATATCGTTTTATTTTGACACATAATAAGAAATAGTCTTAAGAAGTGATTCTTTTAAATTGTAGATAATGTTCCGATACCAAATAAGTGATTCTCCTACTTTAAAAAGGAATTTAGTAAATTTTAACCACAGGTTATCCAACAATAATCACCGAAGCTAGTTATTAAAAAACCAACATGAAAACACCGTGGCGTAATTGCTGCTGCCATCGAATTTCTAATGATTGTCTTAGCTATAAAATAATTAATTATGATTGCATCATCATCATTAAATCATACAATATCTAATTACGCATAAATTATGAGTATAAAACAATTTTAAAATCTCTCTCATTATGAGCCAAAGAGCAAGAGACAAGACAATTATTCGTTTGAAGAAACAACTAAATAAATCAATCACAAACACTGCCAAAAAGCTTACTTGTCTGTAATTGATAAACAAATTTGTATTTTTTGTTTGACAGCATATGAAAACCAAGTACTAACACAACATTAATATAAAATATTATTATTAACAATTAAGACTTAAGAGGTATTTAACCTTATAATATGTCAAATACTCAAATAGTTTGTTAATTAATTTATTAAAACACAAGATTAGTGTAGCAAATTAATAATATTGCATAATAAGAAAGTCAAAAGGAGCCAAGGAGGTAATTGTTGCTGGTATAATGGTGGGGTATGTAACACCCAATCATACCCTACTTACTGTAAGGCTCTTTTTTGACAGAAAACTACTTAAAGACTAGGAAGACTATATACCATAATCTATGTATTTGCTGACCAAAAAGGATATTTGTGTGAAAAAGAGAAGATTAACCTAAATGATAAGCTTTTTCTATTTTGGTTTGGTGAGGGGGATGGACAAACACTTAAATGCCATTTTACATTTTACATAGGTGTATCCAATAGGGTCATGTACTAATAACATTAAATGAGTTTTGTGCTTGTATGGATTTGGAATTTATTCATTTTTCATATATAATGACAAATATTAAGGTTTGAAAAGCATAAAAAAAAATATTAAATTTTACGTGAGCATATATTACTTGATGGGAGGCAATGGAAAGAAATGATAATGGTTGATGACTATATGAGATAAAATATTGGTTCATATATGTAACTGATTTCAATATTCGGGTTAAAATTTTGGTATTATTATAAACTATTTTCAATTATTTTTATATATATTGTTATGTTTAAACATGTTATTTTATTGTTTTTTAAGTAACATGATGAGATTTTTCATGAAAGTCTTACGTTCTAATTGATATTTGATAAGAAATTATCGTATTCTACCTGGAAAGGACTTAATTGATTAAAATTAAATTTTACATACACAAATTTTATTTTATTTTAAGAAAAAAATTGTCATGAAGGGTAACAAATTTTCGTTAATTTCTTGACTATTAGGTCAATGAAAAATGGGAAAACTGTTCACTAATTTCAAATAACATAGGAAATTTTCTATATCTCCATTCAAAAATCAAAATTAAAGTCATAAACTATACACAAAACTTGTAGTTTACTCACCTAGACAATAAACTCTTCAAACATTCTCATTTATCTCATTTTTACAACGGCCAAAACCCCTCTTTAACTTTCTCTCAATAGTCGCCATTAAGCATTATACCCAAGAAACACAAGGAATAAACAAAGCAACTTTCTTTTCTTATTTTTTTTTGAATTTCTATTTCTTTTTTTGACTGGAAAATAAAAAAGCAAGTTAAAGCTGGATAAAAAGGAAACTCTCGCATCAATATTTTTACCTTTAAACATCTTACAACGATGTCGTTCTATCACTTTTTTTCCATTTGTATTACTTTTAGCCTCAAAAAAACAAAAAAAAAATGAATAAATAAATTAAAATTAAAATTTAAACAAAACCTCTGTAAAAACTTTATTTCTTGATGTGAAAGACCGCGAGAATGGCAAAATGTTATCCCAACTCACAACTTTCCTCAATTGCTAAACCCAGAAAAAGCAAAAGGGTCCCTTTTTATTTCCTTAATTTTTTAAAAAAAAATTTATAATTTTTGCTTATTAATTTGGAATATTAATTTAATTTTGACACCCTCAAAAATTGACAGTACTACTACAAAACAGAGCATATTTTCTTGTAACTTTCACTTCTGGGTTTCTGTAATTTTCTCCCCTTTAATTTGGAGCCTTTTTATTGTTTGTTGGGTCAATTCTTCTTACCAAATTTTCCAATATTTTCCAGAAAAAAAACCCCACAAAAAATTTCTATATAATCTAGAATTTGTACTTTTTTTCTTGGCTTAAATGAGCTATCTTAAGTTTTGATTTTGATTTAGATCAGTGATGTTACTTGTGTTTTTGTAATTTTTCTGGGGTTTTATTGAAAGATCCCAAAAAAATTAAAAAAAATGGCAGTGGAACCATCTAAGTTAAGGTTGGTTCGTTGCCCCAAATGTGAAAATCTACTCCCTGAACTTCCTGATTATTCTGTCTATCAGTGTGGTGGCTGTGGTGCTGTTCTTCGAGGTATTTTTAATTTTCTCCTTTATTTTCTTTAATTTTTGCTAAATTTGCTTATTTTCTCATCTGGGTTTGTTTGGAATTCTATATTTTTGCATGATTTGGGTATTGGGTATTTGAGTGTTATATTTATGTATGTTGGTTGTAAATTTGCAGCAAAAAAGAGTAATCTAGAAGCTGGTAATGGGTCACAGAGGTCCATTGAGGAGAGGGTTGGGGTAATTTCTGAGAAATCTGAGAGTAATTCAGGGAAAACTGAGAAATTTTTGGGGAAAGGAGCTGTTTCTGGGGTTGAGAATGATGAGGTTAGGGTGAGTAATAATGGTGAAGGGAGTAATGAAGTTGTTGAAAATTTTGGGAGTGATTCTAAGAGAGAAGTTGTTGCTTGGGAAGTTGAAAATGGGGATTCTAGTAAAAATGAAATGGGTAATGGCAATTTGGAATCTAGAGTAGACAAGTTGGAGACCCTAAATGAGAATGTAAATGGGGTGAGGAGATCTAATCGGGTTATTGAGCGAAAATCGAGTGATATAGGGGCAGCGGAGCGATTTGGTAGGGCTAGACGAGATTATTTCGAAGGGAAGAGGTCTTCTAGTTCGAATCATTTGGGTGACTCGTCCAAGTATCAGTTGGATTCTAGTTATCGAAATGAGGCAAGTCGAGCTACTAGAACGACTGAGCTTATTGAACATGATCGAGAGGAGCTCTTGAGGAAGTTGGATGAATTGAAGGATCAACTCAGTAGGGTTAACAATGCCAATGAAAAGTTTCATGAAAAACCTCCTTTGGCTCCTTTGGAGCCGAGGATGACCCATGTAGAACCTTATGCTGAACCTGTGGATTGTTTTCGTGATCATCCATCTAACTTCCACCGGACTTCAAGGCAATTTTCTTCTCCTAATAAACCTGCTGCCGGACTGCCTTACTTTGAGCATTATCAAGAGCAATTTCCGGTTACTCATAATTACAACTCAATGCACAACTCAAATCATGTTCCTAGGTATGAGGATTCATATGAACCTCAAATGTTCCGGAGACCTCCTCCACAACGGATCCCAAGTCACCATCAATATATGGGTCCTGAGCTAGACCCTTTTGAGCCACACCCGTATGGTATGGCTGTCAATCACCATTCTTGCTCTTGCTATAGATGTTATGACCGACAACTGCAGGCTTCTTTGCAAGTCCCACCATCAGCATTTGCCAATAGAAGGTTTCCTCATGTTGCTAACAAGTCCATGTCATGCCAGCGTGAAGCTCAAGGGGCTTTTGGCTTACATGGGTATAATTCTAGGATTGTTGATCCACAACCTCACCCAAGGTGGCCAGGTGACGTTAATGTTGAAATGGGGAGTTTTTCTCGTGGTCGTCCTCATAGGATGGTTCTAGCTAGTAGTCATCGTTGCCGCCCTGTAGTAGGTGGTGCTCCGTTTGTAACATGTCACAATTGCTTTGAAGTATTAAAGTTGCCGAAAAAGGTGTTTTCCAAGAAGGATGACTGGCAAATGTCTTGTGGAGCATGCTCTACTGTGATCTCTTTCACCGTTACGGATGAAAAACTAGTGCCAGTTGACACAGCAGTGAAGCAAACAACTACTGATGCTTTTGACAAATCTGATGGGTTTGGTCTTGGGCCTCATGGCCATAAAGTAAGCTTTTGTTCTGAGGATTATGCTAACTCAGTGTATGATTTTCAAGCAATGGATAGGGAACCTATTTCTTCATCAACTTGCCAGGGTGTAAGCTCCAGCAAGTCTGAAGAAATGCACAACCTTCACTCGGTTTCTGCTACAACTTCTGAGGATGAACATTTTTCAGATGAATTGGTTGCTAAAAAAGGAGTGACCTCTGCAACTATTCATCCTGAAAAAGCTGCATCTTCTCCTTCTCCTCCGGGTTCACCTCTTCAAGACCCTTTTGATTATACATCTAAATTCCGTGCCATAAACCGTTATGGAAAGGGAAATTTGAGTAGTCGATCAGATCAAGAGAGGGTTATTACTAACAAGAATACTGTTCGGCAAAACTCCTTGAAGGAGTCACTGGCAACGGAGATGGAGATGTCACATAATGAATACCTAAATAATGAGGTAACACAAGAGTCAACAGATAAATGCAGAGAAGAGGATCACCCAAAAATGAAGAAAGGAGTAGATTCATTTTTGGCAGGAATTATAAAGAAGAGCTTCTCTAAATCCAACCAAACCTTGGAAAGTGGTAAAAGAAATGTTATGGTTAATGGGAATCTGATACCAGATAAATTGGTTAAGAAAGCAGAAAAGATGGCAGGTCCAATATACCCTGGACAATACTGGTATGCTCTTCAACTGCATTTAGTATTTGCTTATACTAATTTAGTAATTTGTTTCAAATGGCTTTGCATTGTGTTGTATTGGAAAGTATGAAGTATTAGATTTTATAGTGCTGATTCTGTTAAGACTAGAGGCATATGGATAATTCTTTTGTTTCCCCTAAAGCTAGAGACTTTGTTTCTTAAAATCTAGGATAAGGCATGGTAAGTATAATATCAAGCCTCTGCTGAGTTTGGGACTTTCATATGTCAGAGTTCATAATTTCAGGCCTCATGTTTTTCTCCTTTATACCTGATAATCATCTTTGTTTCGGTTTATGCTGCTGATTGCTGTCAGAAATTACATGTCCTTGCATCAAATTAATTACAAGTTTACAACTGATGATTTTTGGAAACCATATAAGAGATGTGTTCTTATCCAAACAAGGCGTTCGGTTCAGATTTTTGTGCTGATATTAGATTACAATAATTAGATACTTGAGTTATTTATAAAAATTAAAAATAAAAGTTGGGACTGTACTCTTTTTTTTTTTTTTTTTTTGGCTTGGACAGCATATCTAGGTGGCTCACTGCTTTTCTCAAAAAAAAAAAAAAAAAGGTGGCTCACTGCTTTGTTATTATTGTTTCTTGTTTTCCATTTTATCAGGTATGACTACAGGGCTGGGTTCTGGGGTGTGATGGGTGGGCCTTGTCTTGGCATCATACCTGTAAGCTCTCTAAATGATAGTGCGTATTCTCTGTTCATCTCCTGAATATATGTTTTTTAGTAATATAAACACTTCAACTGTTTTGTTGCAGCCATTTATTGAGGAGTTCAATTATCAGATGCCAGAAAATTGTGCTGCTGGGAACACTGGTGTGTTTGTAAATGGTAGAGAACTTCATCAAAAAGATATGGAATTGCTTACAATCAGAGGACTTCCAGCTCTTAGGGACAAATCTTACATTATTGAGATCTCTGGACGAGTTGTGGATGAAGACTCTGGTCAAGAACTTGACAGCCTTGGCAAACTTGCCCCAACGTAAGTTCGATTTCTTACTGTTCCCCCACCCCTCCATCTCCCCAAAAAGGAGAAAAAGAAAGTTCTGTTACATTATTCTATGAAGGAATACGCTGTGCTTATGTTTCCAAACATACTTTCATTTATTTGCTAATATGGAGGGATGATGGAAGGAATTAATTCCTCCGTTCTACTATGCTTCTCTGAATAGTGTTTGGCGCTATTATTAAGGGTAGAATATAGGTAGGTATAGTATGGAGAGAGAAACAGGGTTGATGTGATATATATAGAGAGAAAATCATTATCCAAATAGATGGTGAAAAAGAAATTGGGACTTTCATTGAAGGAAAGTGTGAAGTACATTGTGGGAAAGAATGATTTAGTAAGTCAAGATAGGTCCTTAATTTTATTATATTGGGACAAGGTGACTTATTTCTAGATATAGGAGTACATAACATTAAGGCAGCGCATTTTGAATAGGATTTTAAGCAATTTTTGAGATAAATGCCTGGGGTGCATTACTTAGAGTGCTCCCCTGTTCGGACAACATAGAGCCTAATGTATGTGTTTTGATTGGTAAAAATTTCATGCTTATTCAATTAATCACAAAACATCATTTAAGTAAAACTTAATTGATAGTTAGAATCGTAATTTGAAGTGCTAGATAAGATTCATACCATGCAGGTCATAGAAAAATAATGGAGTCTTCTTGTCCTTACAGAGAGCTCGCTAAGCTTGATAAAATGTATGAGCTTTTGTTGCCATATACATTATTAGGTTGTTGGGAAGCAATTCAAACTACTTTCTAAGATGTTATTTCTGCATTACAATTAAAAAAGATCTCATTCTGGTATTGTGAGGACATTTGCACTTGCATGAGCATCATATTGAGTCCTGGACACTTGGAAGAATACTTTTAAAGTGAATATGTGGTCTTCGAAAATTTAGGACCTGGATTTTGACTCTTTAGCTATATTATGAATTCTTAATGTATTACTCTGTATCTTCGATCTTTTACGATCTTTCTGTAATGAATATATACGTATATAGCTTCTTATAATCTGACAATTTATTCCCATTTTTGGTCAGGATTGAAAAGGTCAAACATGGGTTTGGCATGAGAGTTCCAAAAACCGTGTCTTAAAGTAAACTGGCATGCATGAAAACAAGTTCACTAAATGCTCCTACAATTAGGAAGAGTCTGGTTGCCTGAACTCGCCCTTATGAACTCCGTACTTGCTTTCAATCTGTTGTGCTGTCGAAGGAGGTTTCCAAGCTACCCTAGTACCTGTCTGGATTACAGAATGGCGATATCTGTTTGTCCATCATATTCAAAGATTTTTCCTTGGCGGCTTTGGTTTGTTCGGAGAGGTGTAGTGTCTCGAAAGGGAGGTGTAGATCGACCTGTCTTTCTCTATTATTTATGTAATATCAATTAGCTGATCTAATTTGTAATGTTGTATATTGTTAGATGCATTGTTAGTCAATCGGCACCAATCAAGTGAATATTATAAAATGACATTGATCCAGTGTTGGATAAAGTGTGATTATCTCTAGGAACATTTTCCCCGTCAATTTATGCTTGCGATTTTGTAATGTATCAAAGAAATGGTAACGAGTTAAAGTCCATGAGCAAATGATTGATTGCAAATTCATTTGTTTCTGATGAATGTGAAAGTACAGATTGACCTCTTGATGGACTTCTCGTATCTTGTCTCACAGTTTCATTTTTGTCAATGGTAGTTTATTTTCGTTCTCTATACGTATACTGTTCTAGTTTTATCGGATGTCTTTAAAGTTAGTTTCTTCCTTCTTGTTTGATGTCCTAGAAGACATTCAAAGCTCATGGATACTGCTGACTGAATTCTCTAAAGTTAGTTTCTCCCTTTTTGTTCGATGTTCTAGAAGACATTCAAAGCTCATGGTTACTGCTGACTGAATTCTAAAAGGACTTTGATTATAATCGGCATAATTTTCACTGTTCCTCTCGCAATTTGACATAAAGGACTGGCTATAAATTATGCAAATAACCAGATTTGAATATACCATTAGAGAGTACTCGTTATTTTGAATTTATTATTATGAGAAGGAGAGTATTCGTAATAATAAATTTTGGGTACACCTAATGTGGATCTTAAACACGATTAATCAAGGTGCTATCTGCTCAACTTAAAGTAACTCTCTTTATTCTTTACTAAAGCGATTTCATAATGATATTGGGGTTACAAGGACAAAGAACAAACTATGCACTGATCTATGCTTTGCTTGGTTACTTTTTACTGTTTTCGTGACCCTCCTTTATTTTTTTTATTTTTTTATTTTTTTATTTTTTTTGAATAGTCGTGACCCTCCTTTATTAATCTTTAATTACTTTTAAATTCATGATTAATACGAGTATCAAGGATCAACTTCTTTGATTTGTCTAGTTGCAATTCAGCTTTATTGCTTTTGTGTTTTTGGGGGATACGCAATCAATTTTATCTCTTTATAGCGGCAACAAAGTTGGCTGAATGGAAGAATTTTTTTCTTCGTTTCTTTTTAGTGACCAAAGAAAGAAAAAATATGGAAATATAAGGGAAGACATTGAGTGATTTCGACACCTTAAAAGACCCCAGATGCCAAGTTGGTGATTGAAAATTTTGAAATCTATCTAAGATCTCTTGACAATTAATGCAATATTGCAACAGAATACCGAAATACGTATATTGAACCAAACTCATACTCAAGAGTAATCTGTTCACGGATCGGATATTCGATCCGAAATGTGATTTCGGACGGATATCTGAATACTCGAATATCAGAAATTGATATCTAAATCCGATTTGAAAATTTCGGATATCCGATATTCGGATATTCAAAATTTTCGGATCGGATGTTTCGGATATCCAATATCCAATATTAAGTAAAATTGATTATGATTACTTTCTAAATTTCACTAATTTTACCGCTTTTTAATCGTTGAGTTGTACAACATATTTTAACAAGATAGTAGTCTTTTTGCAATAAAAATTATCATCAAATATATGAATAATATTATTATAAGTTAATAATAAGTTTTATATGAACAATGTAAAAATTATATATATATTTCACTATTTTAGCCTTTATATTTCGGATATCGGATATCCGAAATTTTGAAAATCAATATCCAAATCCGCATCCGATATCCGCTTTTTCGGATCGGATATCCGATCTGAAATGAAAACTCGGATCGGATATCCAAAAATTCCAATCGGTTGCGGATTGGATAATCGGATTTTTGAAATCTCGGATAGTTTTGTACAAGCCTAATCAAGAGTTCAGAACTTTATAAAACCAATGGATAAGCTTATTATTGTTCCAGTTTTCTAAACCAACTTTTATGATCGTGACTCCTAAGGTCACTCTATACATCCAGTTCAACTTTAAAAGGAAAAAAAAAATCAAAATTGGTCCAAAAGTGTAGATTATAACCTTTAGTTTTGGACAAATTTCGACTTTTTCGAGCTTGAAAAAGAATAAAGTCGAGATGCTTTTCATGGATCACATGAGAACCCGGAAGGCCATATGGGTGGTTGGAACCATCTACTTTGTCTTTAAATTGTCAATTTAATAAGTTACGTACACGTCTCCTTTTATCAATTCAAGGCTACCACAAGCTCTTCTGTTGCCGACAAGTAGTCATATATGGTTCCAAAACAATACTACATGACCCGGGGATGCCTCCTCTAACACCACTTGAGTTATCCACATAAAGTCCCTAAACTTCCAAAAGCAGTCCAATTTTAAGAAGTGCATCAAATTTGGCCTTTTGCAAAACAATTTGGACTTGATAAGGTTATGCATCAAGATGATTCTTAAGACTCTCAAATAATTCCAAAAAAAACTACACGTTGCCAAATTCTCCTATCCATGATTAACCCACTCCTCGTTATCGTGTCATAAGATATCATGCTTTTCCTTGACCTTGTTGTTTTATGCTGCCTTGCCTTTGACCATGTTTTATACTCTCTAGTTTATATGTAATGAAATAGATACTCATGTGGGATATGTAAGAAAAAGCTCGATTAACAATTTCAAAATATCAACTTTTTTGTGTTTTTAAAAGGAATTTTATTTTTTACCGTGTATGAGTAAACCCATTTAACCTCGAAAGAGAATTGACTTTTCTTCATACACTCCCTTTCAAACTAATTACCTTTCAAACAAGAATTTTATTTAGAGATAGATAAAATATAATTCAATTGATGGAAATCCCTTAGTTATTTTATTTTCCGACAAAACAAACTAACAAACAAAAATTGAGCATCACAATTACATTTCACAGTACGTCTTACTGCTTCTAGTGTGATGTTCTACAAATCACAATCAATAATTCATTCATAAATCATAACCAATATAAGTGCACCATCTACCCATGAGGAGCTATAAAGTCATAATGTGGTGGTCCATCAGCAAATATGGACACCAGCTATTCTGAATTCTTCCTTGTTAAAGTTTAATGTTGTAGGTTACCTGTTTGTTTCATTCATCATATCCACAAACACAAATGTTTCTCGATGATTTCAAAAACTTGATTTCAAGAAAGAGGTAACATTTCTCTATCAAAAATTTGATTGTCATGTTAATAATGTAATATGTGTATATCGGTAATTTAAAACCTTCTCATTGGTTTTATAATGCACCTACTTATATAGTATATGAAAAGTGCTACGAGGTTATGAGTATTCACAAAATCTCATGTGCACCTGATACACACTATTTGTTGTGCAACAAATTCATTTTTATATATTCTATACTTTATACTTCATATAAGTTATCCGTTAAACTTAAGATGTTTATGTTTTAATTATTTTCTATATCATTTTTCTAAAAAAAAAATGTAAAACAACTTATTCATTGACATGTCCATATCTACATTGAAAAAATCATTATTATGGCCATTTTAGGTGCCACCTCGCCGACATATGTACATAAAGACTATACACAATTACACTTCCAAACCAAACTACAAACATCTCTTCATTCTTCACTTCAATGTCATTGATCATTAAAATACTCCATACTAGTAAGATCCTAAGATACTGAGATATACCACATCCACAATCTCCTTTTTCCTCAATAAAAAAATCCACCACTTTATTTAATTATATAATTAATTCATTTATGAATAATGATGTTTAGATCCCACCATGCATGGTTTGTTTGGAGGTTGTAGTAGTAAATACTCCACTGAAATATACCCATCAAATTGATCAAAATCAGAAAAATTAAAACCCCAAAAATTAAAATCAAAATCAAAAATAAAAAAACCAAAACCCCAATTCTTGAGAATTCCATTCCCTAGGAAAAACAAGACAACAGAGGAATAAACAGAAAGAAAAGGAGATGAATTGGGATTCAAACCCATTGAAACCCATTTCATTTTACAAACAAAATTCATTTGTTATTAAACTTTTGATTCTGTTTCTCTTGTTTGGTTTGACAATTCGCTTATTTTCTTCTTATTCGGTTGATTTTTCATCTCCAGTTTTTGAAATCCAGCCTTCTTCCCCTGAAACTGATCTTCTTACTTTTGATAAAGGTACCATTTTTTTTTTCTCTTTTTAATTTCTTCTGCATTTTTTATTTTTTGATAACAATTTTCTTCTGTAGTTTATTTACTGGTTATATATACATTTTTGTGATTTTTCTGTGCAATTTTTATTTCATAATTTTATACAAGTATATTTTTTTCCTTTTTTTTTTTGGAAGTTTGGGAAATTTAATTTTAGCTTGAAAAAAGCTTTGTTCAATTAAATTTTGAATACTTAATTCAGTTCTATGAGTATTTACTTATTTATTTTGATATTTGAGTAGTTTTGTTAACCCTAAATTGTGGAAATCAATTTCCAGGTGTATGCTATTCTTTGCTTCTATAAATTTTCTGATTTTTTGTTTTTTAGAATTTAAATTATGGGTTTGGCAAAGATCACACAAAAAGCTAGAGTTTTCGATTAAAGATATTTTTTTTTAGTTACTAGTATGACTAAGTACTAATAAACAATTTTAAGATGATTGAAGCAAATTTCTAGTAGATCAAGTGAATTTACTATGATCTTTAGCTTCTAATCAGTTTTTATGAACATATATTGTTAATAAATGAGTTGATGGTATGTGCAGTACTTGTAAGCTTATATTGTGGTTTGCTTAACCATTGTAGGCTCTCTCACATCCAATTCAACCAATTTAATTCGAGATGAAGCGAAACCGAAATGTGATTTGTTTAAAGGTGAATGGATTCCAAATCCATCTGGTCCTGTATACAATAATAATAGCTGCCCTTTCATTGAGCTCCCTCAGAATTGTATGACTAATGGCCGTCCCGACTCGGACTACCTCTATTGGAGGTGGAGTCCCTTGGATTGCAAGTTGCCTAAGTTCAACCCTGAGAAGTTTCTTGATTTGATGAGAAACAAGTATTGGGCTTTCATCGGTGATTCCATTTCTCGCAATCATGCGCAATCCTTTCTTTGTACCCTGTCTCAGGTATATGATCTTGCCTTATGTGGATGTATCATGTGTAATATGTCCCCTCTAATCGTAAATTGATCTTTGATAGAATTTTATTTACATGTTGTAACAATCGAAGGATTAGTTGTTAGTAAGATGAGTCTTTTTTTATGCAGAAGTTCAAACTGTAGGAATGAGGAAACTGTGGAGTTATAAATGCTTAGATCAATA